GGAGCAGTTACTCCCCTAGCCCAGAGAAGAGGAAAGGAAGGGTGTTACCGAAGCAGAGGGGATGAGATGTAGACAGAGCATGACCTTCAGAGTGGCCTTCAGTGGAGAGACACATCTAGCCCGGCCAACACATCCTGGCTCCTGAGCAGGCTCTTCCTTCCCTCTCATCTCCAGTCAGGGCTACTTATTGGCCAGACCCAACAGAAACCAGAAGGCTCACGAGTTCTTTGACCTGTCCTCATAGATCTGCCTGCCAGGGTAGAGAGCAGGCTGAGATGGTGGAGTGGGTTTGGAGGGCAAATGAATGGCATCTGACACATATCCCAAAGAGGAGAGGCATACAAATCTCAATAGAAAACATAAACTCACTTTTATTTTTAAATGGCTTTATTGAGGTATGATTGACATATAATAAGCTGCACAAACTTAGACTATACATTGAGTAAGTTTTGTGATACACACACACACACACACACACACATATACATGAAACCATCTTCTTTATCAGCATAGTGAACTTATCTATCACCCTCAAAATAAACACAGTTTAATGTAATATGTAAGATAGTTCATATGGTTCCTTTAAGAGGGCAAGGGAAGAGATCACAATATCAAATAATAACAGGTACAGTTCCAAAAGTGTTGGTTCTGAAAAGATATACAAAAAATAAAATTCAAGATAACGCCAAAGCTTACAAGAAGGCTATTTAATAGTAGCTTAGAGGGGCCAGCAGGTGGCATAATGGTTACAGCACTGGACTCCCACATGGCTAACTGTAGTTCAAGATCCAGATCTAGCAGCTTTAAAATCACTCCAGGCACATGTGCATGCTTGCCCAAAATCCTAGGAGAAGAATGGAGGAGAAGAGATTGTGGCGTGACCATCTCTTCTTGGGGGTTGACTTCTCACTTTCTCTCTCTGTTTCTCTTCAGCAAGTTCACGCACCTAATGCAAAAACCTTTTAAAAAAAAAAAGGTATCTTGTAATAAATTAGTTTAAAAAGATAATGAATTTGAAAGCTTTTCCACTTGGTACATGCTATTGCAAAATATTTAAACAAAATTGTGACTGTATCTGGTCTGAGTAGTTAATATTTGGATCTGAGAACATTGGCGATAATAAGGATTTTGTTAGTACCAGCAGAACTGTAGATCGGTAGTCCACTACACACTGCACAGGAAGTTCATCTGCCCCTGGCATGCTCCCAGCCAGGCCCAGGCATGTGTGTGTGCGCATGCGTGTGCCCTGGGTGAAGCCACCCCTGCTGCTGAAGAAGGCATACTGCGGTGTGGAGGAGAGGGAGTGGCATGTTAATGATTGACAGCAGTGCTCGTAATTCTCACTGTGACCATAGTTGAGTGTTTATCTGTATTTGCCATTTTATGTTACCTTTTATCTTCCCAGCAACCCCAGGAGGTAGATAATAGTCTCTTCTTTTACAGACGAGGAACTTGAGCTTAACTTAACCAAAGTTTTTGATGTTAGTAAGTTACTAAGTTACCGTCCAAGGTTACAGTTAGGAAGCGATAGAGCTGGGTTGAGATTTAATTCCTGAGCTTTATGCTGTTCTGCTTTAAATGATGAAGTGAGTAGATCACTCGCAAACACATGGTTTTCCATTTATTAGTAGCAAATTGCTTACGACCCACCTTACAGCTGATACAGCCATCCATACAGCCATCGGAGAGTCGTGGCCTGGGCACTCTCAGATGTGGGTGTCCCACAGCTCCCGTGCTAGGGAAGACTGGCACCTGGCACAGAGGTGAATATGAGACCCCAGCCTCACTTCCTACAAAGAGCTCCTCTCTGGCTGAGCAAGGACAGGGAGTGGGAGGTGTCAGGTTTTCAGGAAGGATGGGGCTGAGAAGGCTAGGAGGGAAGCCCTGAGGATACCGTGTTATGCCACAGTAGGGGTGCAGTGACACATCAGCAGCAGCACACAGCTCTGACAGGGCCATACTGGCTACTGTGCTGGTCTTTGAAACTTGGCAGGCAAGGTCAGCACTCAGGGCCTTTGCACTTTTGTAAGGTTTTTGCCATAGAGTGTGTGCACTTGCCAGAGACAGAAAGAAGGAAACTGAGAAGGCATCCCCGGGGTTAGCCATGTCACAATCCCGTCTCCATTCTTCTCATTCTGGGATTTTGTACAGGCACACATATACGCCCTGTGTGATTTTCAAGCTGCTGGGTGCAGGACTTGAACTCTTGTCGGCCATGTTGGAATCCAGTACCTCAACTGCCACACCACCTGCTGGCCCTGCCTTTGTACTTTTTTACTCTTAAGCCTGGATTGTTTTCTCCCATGATTTTTGGACACTCTCTCCTTTATTTTTATGACAGCTTAAACATCTCCTAAGAGAACCTTTCTTTTGCCACCATGTCTCACGTGAAACCTGTGTCACTGTCTCCCTCTGCTGCTTTACTTTTCCTCATAGCAGTGATCACTATCAGACTTCAGAGCCTCAGTCTCCAAACTCACTGGTCTTAAGCCCTCTGCACTCAATGAAAAATTGTTGAGAACTCCAAGGTGCATACATTTATGTGGGTTATACCAGTCAACATGTACCAAGTCAGAAATTAAACAAATTTAAAAGAGTTTTGTTCACTGAAAAATGGCAATAATAAAACCATTACATGTTAACATCTATAACTTGTGAGTAATACTTTTCTTTTCTTTTTTTTTTTGAGAGGTTTTTGCGCTCACCAAAAAGACAGAGAGAGAGAAAGAAAATCGAGAAATTACCCCCCCCCCGGGGGGTATGGCCATGCCACAATCCCTTCTCCTCCTTTTTCCTCTTGGCATCTTGGGCATGTGCGCACATGCACCCAGCATGAGTTTAAGCTGCCGGGTCCAGGACTTGAGCCACGGTCAACTACATGGGAGTCCAATGATATAGCCATTACGCCAACTGCTGGTCCCGAGAAATACTTGTATTTTAAAAAGATACATTAGTGTTCCCTTTTCCACAGTTCTGCTTTCTGTGGTTTTTGTTACCTGCTTCACAGTCAGCCATGGTTAACCATGGTCTGAAAATAGCTCAGTCCAGTATAAGATATTTAGAAAGAGAGAGAGGCCACATTCATATAAGTTTTTATAACATATTACAGCATATTGTGGGACCAGAAACGGTGTAATAGTTATGTTGCTGGACTCCCATGTAGTCGACTGTGGTTTGAGCCCTGGATCCAGTGATTTAAACTCACACCAGACACATGTGTGTGCGTGTATGCCCCAAATCCTGAAAGGAGAATGGCAGAAAAGGGATTGTGGCTTGGCCATCCCCCTTAGGGGGTGATTTATCACTTTCTGTCTCTCTGTCTCTCTCTGACTCTCCTGTGAGTGCATGTGCCCTATTTAAAAATCTTTCTCTCTAAAAAAAAAAAAAAAAAGCATATTGTTACAATTGTTCAAGTTTATTGTTATTATTGTTACTCTTACTGTGCCCAATTGAAACTTAATTCAACCTATTATAGATTAAACTTTATCACAGGTATGTCTGTGTACATCGCAGAAAACAGTGTATCTAGGGTTTAGTATTGTCCAGTGTCAGGCATCCACTGGGGGGTTTAGAGTGTATCCACACAAATAAGGAGGGATTCATGATTAAAGCAAAAAGGGTTGGCATTGTTTTACAGTTTTTGTACATATTTTCTATAAATGGAATATAGTCAGATTGTCACATCTGCTTCTGCATTCGGTGTGTTTCAATATATTGTTTTGGTAAAAGATGATAAAGAATCTGGTCTCATAAGATAGGGTAGTTAGAAAAGAGATGGCTATGGTTAAGGGGCCAGACTCCCACGTGGTTGACTGTGGTTTGAGGCCTGGACCCGATAGCCTGAAAATATTATTGGGCACACGTGCATGCACGCCCCAAATCCTGAGAGGATAATGGAGGAGAAGGGGTTGCTGTGTGGCCATGCTACCGGTGGGTGATTTCTCACTTTCCCTCTCACTATCTCTCTCTGATGAGTGCACACACTCTATGGAAAAAACTTAAAAAAACAAAAGGGATGGATATTTTAATAGTCTTTTCAGGTAATTGTGGACATCCTATTTTACTATTACACTAAAATTCAACAACTGGCTCTTTTCTTCTTCTCTCTTTATTTTTATTTATTTATTCATTTTTTGGTCAGGTGGTACATTCACTCACCAGAGAGAGGCAGAAAGGGAGAGAGCATCCTGTAATGGAACTTGGTCAGGCTGTAGTTCCTAATTCCTTCTCCATTGCTCCATCCTGTTAGGACTTTGGGCACGCACACATGCCAGGCACGTTTTCAAGCACGGAGGCCAGAATTTGAACAACACGGTTAGCCATGTGAGATCCAGCTTCCTTAACCACCAGGCCATGGGTCTGTTTTGATACATTGTTTTGGTAAAAGATGATGACCTAATGGTCATTTCTCAAGGGTCAGTTGTTGTATGGGTCTTGCAGCTTGGGAGTATATGCATGAGCCACACCCAGTCAGCACTCAGAGGCTGCTTCTTTGTTTGTTTATTTGTTCTTAAGGAAAAATGGATCACTGTCTTCTGAGATTATGATTTACATGAATGCAAACCTTTAGTTTCATTATACTGCTAAAAAAATTACCTGAGTTTTCAAAGATAACAGAAACACCTTTTGATCAAATACTAACTTTTCATGTGCACAGAAATGGGGCTAGATTTTCCTTAATAGATCCACACCTCATATTAGTGTGTCATCTTTTTGGGGGTGGGAAGTGACAACTCAGTTAATGGTTTTTAACATAGTGCCTTGATAAACATTTGTTAAAAATATCAATCGTTTGTTGGAATGCTCCTATTGCGATCTTGCTTATGTACCTTACCTTGTTGGAAGTGAGTAAACTGCCTTTCAGAATTATCCTTCAGCCACTACAGGCATAGAGTTAAATATCCAAGTCAACAGACATGTCCAGTAAAAGCAGCAGTGACTTTATGTGTTCACAGCATTTTGATAGGATTAACCCATAACTTTATGTTTATCTCTTTAAGATCCATACAGGCTTACAACATCAAATAATCTGGCCCTGTCAGCCCAGCTGTGTTCCTCTGGATGAAAAACTCCTGCCCCAGCTTCTCAAAGAAGCAGGCTACAGTACCCATATGGTCGGGAAATGGCACCTGGGAATG